TATAAACCATAAACGCTCAGATCAAATGGAAAAAGGCATTGAAAGAGATAGAGATAGTCTGAAAGGTTCATACCGTCGACGTCCTAAAAATTTCTTGCTCCGAAAAATATCGAATTTTATTGGCCCTGGCATGCATTATTATATCAAGATATGCTACCTTGGCGTCAGGTTTGCTGACAAACCGAGGGATTAATATTTTCCTCGTTAAATTAAAACTTCAACAGGCGTCTTACCACCGAGTTTCCATCGAATTCACGACGTAGGTCAGATATTCCAATATGTTCTCATTTAAAACGAGCTCCCACCTTGATCCATCATGGACCTTGTTTTGCTACGTTAGATTTTACAAACACGTATTATTACTAACACGGTGACGTGTGATATATGTCAGGCAAGTCGTTATCTGGAAACCTACATGTTTCATGACGGCAAGTATTCGACTTATTACCTCTTGCTCTTTAATGAACACCGCTGTGGTGACTGTTAAAATTCCTCCTGGCGATAACGTCAAGGGTGAGCATCGTAACCCGGAAGAAAAAATGATGGAATTTACAGTAAGAACCTTGTGGAAAAAACTCTTCAAAGTTGTGCGACTCTCGAGATTTTGGGTTGACCCCGTACTCGCGAAACTTGCAATTAGGCAATCGCTTGAGATTCGATAGATTTTCCATGAAAAGTAGCTGTTTCTCATAAAGACAATGAACCTATTTTATCCAATATGAAATGTCAGCATTTCTATCCGCGATAAAGTAAAACGAGACATCTTTATACTATATATATATATATATATATATAGATCAAAGGAACACTTGCTAAAACAAGTTCAATATCGTCGTTGTAGTCTTTGTTGTGCACGGCGCCCAAATAATCCATAATATTTATCATGTCCTTGACTTCTGAACACTCATCTGGATCAGGAGCAAAATTCATGTACCTCACGCCGGGACTCTTGCATATCTCCATGATTTTGTGATAATTATTGATATAAATAGAGGCTTCAATGTTTAGAAGTGATGGATTATTCTGGATGATCTCGTCGTTGAAAATCCCCTCATGTTCCCTGGCAACAATCGCATTGTCGGGTAATATTTTCTCATAAATGACGTATGGGACGTTGGGGCGTTCTACTAACTTCAGCCTTTCCGCCAATTTGTTGGTAGTCGGAAAGACAAACCAACACGATGTTTTTTCGGCGTTTAACCAAATCACGCCGACCTAGGAAAAAAAAAAAAATAAATAAAATAAACGAATCAAGAGAAAATTTTAAAATGTCGAAATTCAGGTCAATGACATCTTGAAAGAAATACATACTATCTCATTGTCTTTCATAAAAACATATTCTTCGCTTATATTACGCACCGAAGTTGCCTTTTTGATGGGTTCAACTACATATAAATTTACCTTAAGGTCGGGATCGATTATCTCCCAGGCGTAGGAAAGTGTTATGTAGCTTTTCATCCACACTCGATCGTTACTCATAACCTCCCTTCTATTAATTCGTGAGAGCAAAAAAACTTTCGATGAAGATTGGTTGAAGGAATGACCGACTTCGTGCAATCGATTTTCTAATTGAATACGTACAATTTAATAGGATTGTCACACCTTCCCGGGAAAGGCTTTATATTCACAGTTGCAATATTTTGGATTGGGTCCGCCTTGCAAAGGGATCCTTTCCACTGGCTACAAAGTAAAAGTCATTTCATTTTATCCCATTTTTGGATTCTGCAATTTCTGCACATACGGTAACCGCACGTCAAACAAGACCGGTACTTACAAGGTCGACCCTTGTGCGGCATCGGCCGTACCTTTGGTAAAAACCGTTAGCCCTAGCAAATCACATCGGAGGAAAAATCTTTAATCATACTTACCGCCAGTATCGGTTTCAACCATTAGTTGTTGTAATTTCATTTTTAATTTTCGACGTTCTCTGTTTCGCGTAAAAGTTATAAGCGATCGAACGATTATAATTAGAATGAGGCGTGCTTTAGCTTACTCGTGAACCTTTTCGTTGAAAATTTCACTCCGCTCCTTTGAATGCCATTCCTCATTTCTATCCAGCAATTGAAATTTAACGGATCTGTTCTTTCTTCCCTCCGTAAGATCTTGTGAACCATCCGCCGAAATGTGGACCCTTTCTTTATTGCCAGTCTGCGAGTGCAAAAAGAAAAAAAGAGTGAGACTTCAACGAAAGATAAATTGGTTGCATGGAAACAATAGTTACACCGGGAGTTCTGATTATCTCGGAATCGATATCATTGAATTCGACCACTCTCTTTGGTTTTCGCGAAGAATTTTTTGCTGCGGCGGCAACCGGCGAGCGACTTGTGTCCTTAATCGAAGTTGCTGTTTTTCCGGCATTGCTTGACACATGTGACTTGCAACTAATTATGACATTGACATTATTCGAATTGCCTGGACTTATGGAATT